GCTGATATATTCCATGGTGATCCATGTACATGGTAAGTGAAATAAGACAATGTGTTTCCTTGCTGAATATATTCCATGGTGATCCATGTACATGGTAAGTGAAATAAGACAATGTGTTCCTTGCTAATATATTCCATGGTGATCCATGTACATGGTAAGTGAAATAAGACAATGTGTTCCTTGCTGATATATTCCATGGTGATCCATGTACATGGTAAGTGAAATAAGACAATGTGTTCCTTGCTGATATATTCCATGGTGATCCATGTACATGGTAAGTGAAATAAGACAATGTGTTCCTTGCTGATATATTCCATGGTGATCCATGTACATGGTAAGTGAAATAAGACAATGTTTCCTTGCTGATATATTCCATGGTGATCCATGTACATGGTAAGTGAAATAAGACAGTATGTTTCTTGCTGATATATTCCTGATATGTGAAATAAGAAGTGTTCTTGAGTTCTTTGCTGATGTACTGTAAAATATAATGAAATAACTACACACTGTTTGAGTGAATTTGACTTAATATATGAATGAACAGAATCCTAATTTAGCTAAAATGCCAACAATCTCATTTGTGAGAATATACTTTATTTTAATTTAGTGACATCTCGAAATAGGGACTAGCTAAAACAATATGCTAGCTAGATAGATGTGTTTCACAGTATTCCATACATGTCACACGCAACGTAATATTACCGTAATTGGTATAGTACAGGTGTGATGGTTCAAATACCAAAATGGCAACAGTAACAGAAAGACTTCCCTGGCGGCGATGATAAAATACGAACACGGAGCCAACAGATGAGGTTTCAACTGCTACTGGTATTATTATACTCTGCAAACATCAAGTACCGGTACAATAACGCGGTAAAACTCCACTACTCCAATAACTAGATACTTAAACTCCAATACAATTCAACGAGATCTCCGATCTGATCTCAGTGCTGAACAACTCCCCTATATATACCCACGCTGTCTATAAAGTGGAGATTTGCAGTGTCAAATCTATTTTTGTAAATGCACTAAGCAACATGCCCCTCGATTTCAGTCACCTTTGACCTTTGTCCACCAGGGAGTTGTTCCTTTGGTCAACATTGTTCAGCCAATCAGTCTTTATTTTGCACTCGACACGTAGCGTCACTTCTTTTCTTAGATTTTCTTTGTTCCCCATTCATTCATAGTTTGCTACGCTTCGCTGGCTCTATTTCGCTATTACTCTATTCAGTCTGCGTCAATTTAAATCAAATCTTTTGTCTCCCGCTCGAGATCAATTTCTTTCATAATGCCTAGAAGAGGTCGTCCCAGCAAGAAATCAGCTACTTCACACATCGCACCGTACGTTCGGCCAGTAACGCGTTCAGCAAC